TCACACCCCACACGCGGCGCCGCTCACCGATCCACTTGTCGTTGTTGTACCAGGACAGGTTGTCCTTGGTGCTGTCGTAGTAGCCGATCTTCTTGTAGACACCTCCTGCAAGGGCGATGGAGATGGGTCAGGTGGGAGGGACGGAGGCACGACACCCCTCCGCTGCTTGTGCACGCCCCCACAGGATCACAGACTGGGGGGGGGTTGGAAGGGACCTCTGGGTCCGACCCCCCTGCTCAAGCAGGACCACCCAGAGCCCGTCGTCCATGACCACGTCCACGTGGCGTTTGGATGTCTCCAAGGGCGGAGACCTCACCACCTCTCTGGGGACCTTCTGCCAAGCGCTTGGTCACCTGCGCTGTGACAAAGCGGTTCCTGATGTTCAGCTGGAGCCTCCCGCGCTCCGGTCCCTTCGTCATCTTCGTGGCCCTTCGCTGGACGCTCTCCAGTTGCTCTCTTGTACTGGGGAGCCCAGTAGTGGCCCCGTATCTCCAGGTGTGGCCTCACCAGTGCTGAGCAGAGGGGAAGGATCGCCTCCTCGACCTGCTCCACCACTCCTCCTGCTGCAGCCCAGGACACTGTTGGCCGCCTTTGCCTCGTGGTCAACCTGGTGTCCACCAGGACCCCCAGGGCCTTCTCCGCAAAGCTGGTTGATCCCCAGCCTGTCCTGGTGCCCGGGGGTGTTCCTGGAGCGCTTCCCCTTGTTGAACCTCGTGAGGTTCCTCTCAGCCCATTTCTCCAACCTGTTGAGGTTCTTCTAGGTGGTTCTTCGACCCCCTGGCGTCTCAGCTGCTCGTCGCGGTTCGGTGCCATCAGCGAACTGGCCGAGGGTACTCTCTGCCCCATCATCCAGACCGTTGACGAAGATGCTGAACAGGACTGGACCCAGGATTGACCCCTGGGGTGCGCTGCTGGTGACTGGCCTCCAACCGGACCTTCTGCCGCCGATCCCCACCCCCCCCGGCCCTGGCCGTTCAGCCGGTTTTCAGTCCACCCCACTGTCTGCTCATCCAGCCCAGACTTCACCATCTTCTCTGTGAAGATCTTCTGGGAGACAACAGCGTTGAAAGCCTTCCTGAAGCCAAGGTAGACAACGTCCGCCGCTCTCCCCTCATCCACCAAGCCAGTAGAAGGTGGTCAAGTTGGTCAAGCTTCTCCTTTGGTGAATCCATGCTGGCTACTCTTGATGACTTTCTTGTCCCAAGCTCCTTGCTTGTCCCCCAAACCTCCTCCACCTCTGGGCCTCCCTCTGTCACATGGCAAGAGCAGTTGTGTGTTGGTGAGGACACACGTCCTGTTGGACAGGCGGCCAGAAAGGGTGCGGAGAAGGGGGTTGTCCCATGTGCGTTGCCACCCCTTGAGAGGTTGTGCAGTGGGGGGACTCGTTGGGGTGTGTGTCTCGGAGTGGTTGTGTGCTGTTGTCGTGCGGGCAACAGGGCCGCGACGGCGAGCTGCGGCTGTTGTGCGTGAAGGGGTGTTGCGGGACGCTCGGTGGTGGTCGCCGCGTGCAACGGGGTGACGGCGTCACCCTGACAGGGCTGCTGCCCACGCTCACTCACCTTGCAGCTGCTCAATGAGCGTCCAGGCCATGCGGGAGCCGCTGGCGTCGAAGACAACGTGTCCCTGTGGGGTGGAATGGAGAAGGCGTCGGGGACCTGTCAGGTGGCAGGACCACGTCCCCAGAGGGGTGTCGGGAGAACTTCTCTGGGAGTTTTGGGGTGGCTCACGAGGGCACCCTTGACGGATGCCTTCAAGGCACCTCCGCCACCACCTTGAAGGTGGAGGAGTTGGGGACATGGGAGACCTTCTTGGGGAGAAGAGGACACGCTGGGGCAGGGGACTGGCAGGGGCTCAGGTGTGGGCAACGCACCGAGACGCCCTCGAAGGCGGAGGAGTTGAGGGCCCGGTAGATCTCATCGGTGATGTTCTTGTTGTTGTAGTTGAAGTCCTCCAGGCGCAACCCCTTCTTGACCAGCTCCGCCGAGGTCTTGTTGAGGGCCAGGGCCAGCGCCCAGATGGCATCGTAGGCCAGTGGAGCCTCCTGGAAGCCGCCTGTCTCCTCAGGGTTCTTGCCCAGCCGCTTCTGCAGCTTCTCGATGAACTCCTGGGACGTCTGGGATGGGGAACGAGACGGTGGTGATGTGGTGGGTGGGATGGAGCGGACCCCCTGGGGGTGCCACGTGTCCTCCCATCCTCCCCATACCATGTTGGAGATGCTGCGGGTGTTCTCAGGGTTGAGCATGACGATCTCGGTGGTAACGTGTCCTTCCACGGCCTCGGCCATCTCCGCCTCGGTGCAGTTGATGGCCGGATCCTTGATGCGGAACCAGTTGTCGGCGTACCAGCCAATGAGGAACCAGACGTACTTCTTGCCGTACAGCTTCTCCTTGTAGACCTGCGCGGGCCAAGGAGCAGCGGCCTTACCCTTCACCCCGTCCTTCCCCCCGTCCGTCCGTCCATCGCTCTTCACCCCATCCCATCCAGTCACCCTACGCTCATCTAGAATCCTTCTCCCCATCCCGTCCGTCCGGCTGGACCTCTGTCCGTCCACTCTTCACCCCGCGCCTCTGCTCAACCTTCCCGCCGTCCCACCTGCCCATCCCGTCCATCCAGCTGGACCTCTGTCCGTCCACTCTTCACCCCGCGCCTCTGCTCAACCTTCCCGCCGTCCCACCTGCCCATCCCGTCCATCCAGCTGGACCTCTGTCCGTCCACTCTTCACCCCGTGCCTCCTCTCAACCGTTTCCCTTCCCACCATCCCAACCCGCCTGCCCGCCCACCCATCCACCCATCCGTCCGCCGGTTCTACCGCGCTCGCATCTACCCACGCTTCCACCCGTCCATCCTAACGTCCTTCTGCCCACTGACCCCCACGTCCCGCCACCCTTCGCTCCATCCCACCGCCCATCTCCCCGCCCCTCCCAACTGCCCCGCGTCCACCTGATGGCCACCCACCCTTTCTCTACTGCCTGCCACCCACGGTCCCGTCCTCCCACGTGCCCCCCTTTTCGCCCCCCCACACCGCGTCCACCCCTCACCTCGCAGAAGACCTTACGCGCCTCCGTCTCGTAGAAGAGCCCCACAATGATACGGGCGTCCTGGCGCTGCGGGGAGACAAGTCACCCCCAGGGTGGGACTCCTGCTCCCCTTCGCTCCTGGAGGGTCAATCCCACCCATCCTCATTTGCATAACTTTGCATAGGGGCGCTGAGGAGGACCAGAACCTTGGCGTTGCACAGCCAGGTCATGGACATTGCTAGGCACCTCCTGGTCGGAGGAGATGCATCGTTGACCCGGACGCTTGGGCATCTTGGGGTGCCTCTGCTCCCTTTGGGGTGCAGGACATGGCTCCATCCGCACCCCGATGGTTGTGGGTGCCGTGGGGGGATGACTCGGGGGGGGGGGGGGGGGGGGGGGGG